CCATTGCACTCTTGGGAAATGGAATTTTCTATTCAATATCACGTGACCATAAACAGCCAATTAAACGATTAGAATTTAATAAGGTATTATATAAAACTGTATATCAACACGGAAAATTTTTATGTTTGTTAAGTGTAAAATTTATGTATGTAGTTATACTGGATAACTTTATCACTACTGGTTCAGTAAAAGGTTAAGGTTGTTTTTACTGGTTCAGTGTTACTACAGGAGGAAACCTAAACTAAACTGAACTAAACGATGATGTAGTTATTTATATTGAATAGGTCTTTAAGTTCTAAACTGTTCTCCCTGGATGTCCTGTAAAGGTCATCTCTTATTGATCCAGTGTTACTACAGGAGGAAACCTAAACTAAACTAACTTTTAATATTTATACTGGATATAGTTCTATCAGTTCTAAACTGTTCTCCTTAGAGGTTCAGTATTAAAGGATCATCTCTTATTGATCCAGTGTTACTACAGGAGAAAACTGAAGAATCAGCAGAACTTACATTGTTTGGTAGAGTCAACACTTGTAAGTTGCAACACTCTTCTCACATGTGACTGTGGTGAAATTAGACAACAGCATAATGTAAGAATTAAATTGTGATCACAAAAATGCATTGACCACTGTGATACGATCACCGCAGATAGGAAACGAGACGAATATATATTTTGCTATATTTATGGTAATTACGTGCAGGCAATTTTAATGATGATGCGTTTGCCATTGTATTTGCGACCCCTGACATGGAAAATGATCGTTTGAGAGACGATTAGGGTGGATTTTGAGAAGCATTTGGAAGGCATTATCATGAATTGATGGAGAACACTAAGCTGGATTAGTTGGAAATTTGTTCAAAGTTATCGTTAATCACAGTTTGATCACAAATGAGAGGAAAGATAAGATAGGGCAGAGCGCCATTTCACTTGTCTGTGCTTAATAGAGGAATTACGCCCATTGGCTGGCTACTAGTTAGGGCTAGTTCTTGCACACGCCCCAACAATAAAGACATGTCTTCCAAATTAAGCTACCGTAGTTTGTGTCTGAACACAGGGTCTGAACTACCTAAAAAGATATCTCAAACGTGGTGGGCCAGTGTAGGTAGTATTCTACAATAAGCTGTCGTGGTTTGTGGCTGAACTACCTGAGAAAGATATCTCAAACGTGGTGGTCCGGTTTATTGAATACTACCTACACTGGACCACCACGTTTGAGATATGTTTTTGAGGTAGTCCAGACACAAACCACGCCAACATTGGACCACCACGTTCGAGATATATTTTTGATGTTGCTGCTCCCACTAGCAATTAAAATCATCTTAGGCTGTAGGCTAAAAACCGTCACGTCCTGTATGTGTCGCCAGCCTGAATGCAGGCCTATCTACTCCTCAACCTTCGGGCCCGTGTTCCCATAATTGTTTTCATTCATATTTCAGATAAATTCCTGTCAACACATTCCCCTATCTGCGTGACAGACTCAAGGGGGCTTTGGGGTGTCATCAATATTCATATCACGACTTCCTCGTTTTGACCGCAGAAAATTAAAGTGCTCTGCTCTGTATATCCATGACAATCGCCTTGTTTGTTTAGTCCACTTCGTCCAAACGCTCAGCGCTGCCTTGGGATTTGCGTTTGAGATAAAAAAATCATAATCTTTCAACAGGCGTGAAGACACAACAGTAGGGTGTCGAAACTTTGGCGATTACATCGTTACTTCATGCCGAGTAACATGTCTGATATTATGCCTGGTCGCCATGAACTCATGAACTTTAAACGTTCAAAAATAATTTCACCAAGACATTTTTTTCGGACGAAATTTGAAAATTCATAGTTTTACTATCGTTTTGTTTTTGATTCTATCAAGTTATCTTTTTCTCTCAATTCTATGCGGTTGGTATACCATTATATTCTTTCTGATGATATTTTTAGAATAAACATGAAAATTTGCGGTTTTTCCCACTCCCACCATCGTTCCCGGCTTACTTATTTTCTTAATTTCTAGTCTTTAATACGGAAAAATTAGTGAGGGAATTCTCAAGGCGTTAAGTGAATTAACTGATAATGTTGGTTTTATGCTTGAAATCACGATTCCGTATGGTACGGTTACCCATGTTATAATCTTCAACCCATGTTATAGCTAATCTTCGACCCATGTTATAATCTTTCGAGGCAAAGAAAACTTTTACGCCATAAAGCAATAAAAAATAAATGGGCTTGTTGTTTTACAATAAGAATGGCTAACTATTTCTGTGTCATATGAAAGAAAATATGACACGCAGAAATCGAACGAAAATTGTGCCAAGAAAATTCGGCCTTGCCGTTCCCTTAAACTTCTTAATAATAAGAACGCTTTGGATTGATAGGGATACAACTACTTTGGAGAAAAATACAAGGAGAACTTCGACGTTCGAGCAAAGGCCCTTCGTTGGGAAGTGATCGTAGCGCCGTTAGTAGTTAGTATAATTTCAAGCCGAAACTTTCTTATTGTTGATGCTACCTACACTGCCTAAAAATGAAGTAGATATAGCAAGAACAACGAAGAGGCTTCGCGGGAAGCGCAGATATTTTGATCCTTAAACGTGAATATTTTGATTGCCTTTGTTACGTCATTGCTATTTTAAAACCTTTTTCTATAATGCGTAAATGATTTAATTTTGCGTCGTTTTAAAAGCAAGGCTTATACTAATCCAAAGAGTGCCACTCGAATGCAAAGTTGTTTTGACGTAGAATTTTGGTATTTCTGTAATTCTGTGATCAATCTCTTTTAGTCTTTATCTTGCATAGTTCAAAACGACGTTAAGAAACACGAACTTGAATACTCAGTTACTCGTCCAGTCGCGCTGTAAGGGCAACATATGATAAGCAACTCTAAAAGACAGTTTTCGTAGTGACTAAATTATTAACTATATGTTTTGTGTTGTTAGAAAATATATGAAGTGGATTAGTGGAACACATTTTCCATCATTTGCTTGCTCTCAATAAATGTCAATATCATCAAAGTGTAGGGTCGTATAAAACACTCAATTGAAACCCACTTTAGTTTAATGTATAAATATAGCAACAGTAAATATTTCCATAGTAAGATTAATATTTCTTGAAAGATTTTTAATTTGGCGTAAAAGGTCAAGGCAATTTTTTATAGACAGCTTTAGCCCCCTGCCCTTCCGTTTCAAGCAAGTTCTCGTTGAATATCAGGTTAACATTCCGGCAGAATTCCAAACCTATCACATTACATGCATTGGATTTCACACTGCATTCTGCGCTGAGTCCACAAGGCTAGATTCAAACCTTGGTGTAATAACCCGTTAGATCTTTGGATTTGTGGTAGTAACGGGGAAAAGTACGCTGGTTGATTTGACTGCCGTGGAATTGCTGTGCAAGGTTCAGTGGCGATAAACGACACCTTATCAAATATCCTAAGACATCACCCATATATCCGTATTTGGCTGTGCGCAAGCTTCATATCCGACAAGCATTTGTGCGCAAAGCTTGCCAACATACAACAGAGAGTGAACTAAGAAATTTAAACTCTATCAAGCACAGGGCAAGACTTCAAACCGTGTGTTTATATTGCGTGTTGATTGTGGAGTTGGAGTATCCTAAATTTCCAATTGAGGTATGATTTAATAGAAATGAAATCTAACCTGATGCGTGCTGTTTGCTTTACATAACCTCTATGAAAAGCCATTTGCGCGATGATGGTAGAGATTACATTGCATGTTTATGATATCATAGCTAGAAATGGTTCCCACGAGAGCGCGCAGATGTAACAGACTTTTTTTCTCTTTACAGACTTTAATCCAATAGGCAATAACGTTCGTGAGCAGATCGCTGTTACCTGTCGACCTCTACACTGTTTTCGAGGTAAATATTATAGATAATTTATACACTTGCGAAATTATACGATCAACTGTCTGAAATATATTACAAAATCTTTTGCGTTTTCAAAGAAGGCCACTAACCCCCAGCCGAATGGCCTTGGCTTGAACCTACAACCCCTCAACAGGCCTCAAATATATCGTTGATCGTCACTGGAACCCCACATGCATGATGTATATACTTATATAACCTACATATACTCTTCTATGAAAATATACACAGTTGTATAAAGATGCGCAAATGTAATAGACTTTTTTTCTTTATTCTTTAGCGACTCGCTGTTATCGGAGTAGCGCGCAGTGTTAGATTTAGTCATTCATAGTGTGTGTTCTGTGCTGCACTGTATCTAATATCTTGCTGGGAAATATGCGGTCTAACGTGTGGGTTGTCCTTACTTTGCTGTGTCTTCCAGGTAAATGTTTTTGTTATGTTTTAACATCTAGTAGAAAACGTGTATACATTATGTCGGGTATTTTGACAGCTTCCAAGTGTCGGCGCTTTGATGGTTGGGGATTCATGTCTCGTTGGGGTAGGAACTCCTAAACAGCAAGATATGGGGACTTAAAAATGTAGAACTGCGAACAAGCTACAGGCACTGATATTTAATGATAATTCTTTATAATCACACAGATTAGACTTCGTCAAAAGTCTCCTAAGACTCTAATATCAATGCAGGAACCTGAAATTGTCTGGTGTTTTATAGCCTGCTCGCATTCTACCCTGGTCTTAAACAGAGTACATTACAAACTCTATAATGTCTTAATACAAAATAATGATTTGAATTTTACTCTGCCCTACTGTCTCTGAGATATGACGCATTTCAACACTAGACCACCAAAGTTTTAGATTTATTCTAAGGATAAATCCATTAACGATGGGGTCTTCAAGTATTGAATGTCAATATTTTTTTCTGAAGTGAAAATTTCTGAAGTGAAATTTTTACACATTCAATCGACATGATTCCGTGATTGTGATGCAGACCTTAAGATTAAAAATATTCCACTCTTTTGAAAAATTTGAAAGAAAGCCAATTTTCGATCGTTTAAGTTTTAAACTGATTGTGAACGTTGAGAATTCACGGCTTAGAAAATGGTAAGAGAGACATTTTCTTGTCTGGTCAATTTGAAAGTGACAACTGGCCACGTCTGGCCTTTAAAACGCGTAATATTATGATTCCCTCCTAAAAGTCAAATATCAACGAGGAATCGTTAATAAACATATTATGACAATTTAATATAGTCTTTTAATAGTTCTAATATCGCGGTTCGGCATATTAATTTTTTATCTGATTCACATTGTCCGTGTGCGGGCACTCAGTATCAATATAACACATATCAAAATGCGCATTATTGCTCTTAATTATAAATTGGTGCGCTGGTTATCAATTATTTCTACAATACGTTTGGTTCACTTGACGCAGTTGACGCACTATATGTAAATTATTCACTTTTACTGCGCAGAAAATTTCAGACAATGCTGGTGGCATGAGGGTTTTAATATATTGTTATCAAAACTTAAATCAATTTGCCTAAAGGTATGAAATATATCTCGTCGTTTCTTGAGTGAAGTTGTCGTGAAATGAATTTGAGGGTTATTGCTGTGACGAGAACGGAACATATTAAAATTCCGCGCGTCAACAGTGACTTGCATGTTTCTAGTAAGTTTTGCGCAAATATTTCAATGAGGCGCGCAACTTCTTAGTCTGTGCGCATTACGTCTGCGCACAATAATGTTAAATATGCGCGAAAATATGTCGGGCAGCGATTTAAACTCGAGAGTAGAATTGCGTATGTCATGTATATTGTTTGTGGACTGAATAAAAATATTCATCCAGGCATTTTAAATGTGCGACCACGTTTATTACAGACTAATATATGATCGTGAGTAAATATTAATGCTGAGCAAACAGATTGTCGCAAAGTTCACGCTATCAAGCGCATGTAAAACAAACATAATGAGCGCATTTTCATGTCTATATAATATCAATGAGTGCATGGTCTATTCAAACATCACATCAATCTAGCTACAAAAACACACACACAGAACCCCTCAGGCAATCGATCAACCTCGACCTTAGTTCATTTCTGTTTATTTTACATTTGCAGACTTGAAACGTTTACACATGTATAGACACCTAATCTTGTATCTTCGAAATATCAAATGTAAATATATTACAAATGTAATGCAGTGTCTCATTGGCTTTTAATAGATCAAGAATAAGATAATGCATGGCAGACAATGACGGGAGGTCTATCGGCCTGCGAATATTTAATACAGTTTGTTTTTGACATAAGTTCCGTGAGCAAACAGGCGTGTTTGTTTGAGGTTACCGCAAAATGCCACTAAGTCAGGCCACCCGTCTCTAACTGTGACCTCGTCTTTGATAAGGAGAGGAAACGGAACGCGACCACGCCAGCTTGCATTGCGAGAACTCGAACTCGTCTTTAGAATAAGGTTGAAAAAGGTTTTATCTCATTTTTACCACACAAATTCTTCATTACTTTCCGTAGCTGAGGCCTTAAATTAACAGCCGAGCACCGATCAATGATCGGCAAGAAATTGTTTATGATTGGCAGAAAAAACCGGGAACTTTGGGAACTGCAAGCCCTGGAAAGATGATTTAACTAGTGAGTCAGTCCCTCAAATATTTCTTACAAATCCTTCAAAACTTAGAATTTACCCATGCAAAATTCCTACTGTGATCACAGAAACTTTGATAGTGTAAGCCAGGCAGAAAACCACACCAAACTGCATTCCATGTACCATCGAAATTTGTTGGCTTATTGACGTGAGATCAATCAAAAAACGTGATTGGCATACCACAGCTTGTTTATAAGTTAAAATGTTTATATCGACAGCATATCTTAAAAAATATGTCGTTCACAGTCGTAAAAGCATGCAATAATGTCCATTTTCGTTTTAGTCCAAAAATTTGATTTTTTTAAAAATATAGGCACTTGCCAAATTTGCATGAGTGCGCACGCATCATTAGCTTGAAATCGAGGCGGACAATCACAATGTAATCCATGGTAAATAGTTTCCATTGATTGCCAGCAAATTCGGCAAGTATCTATCGCCGTGATCAATAGACCTTTCCCCTTATGAGTGAAATTTTGATCTAGACAAGTCTGGGCAACAACTTGAAAGAGCACCACAAAATTAGTAATATTCCGAAGTTTCGTTGCGAAATGTTGTAAAATGCGGATAATATAGCCTTGCGAAGTTTGCCGTTTTTTCAGTCATTTGAGTGATTTGGTATTACGAAAGGGAAATTGATAATCAGATGGTCAAACTGATGCAAAATGTTAGATTGTAATGCAAAATGACTGATGATTTTGTGATGCTCTTTCAAGCTGTGATGAAATTTTGCCCAGGCATATCATTATCTAGATCAAAATTTCACTCATAAGGGGAAAGGTCTATTGTCAATGTCTCAATGATGCCGTATCTCCGCGGATTAAAGGTTCATTTCCACTCAGAAAATTTTGTAAAATGTGATTGGCCGACACAAATTTTCAGTCGGAAAAAAATTTTGAAGTTGAAAATTTTCAACTTTTAACAATGATATTTTTGGAAAAATTTTCTGTCCGTGGAAATTTTTCTTGGGTGGAAATGGGCCTTGGGAGATACACGAATACCTGAAGAATATAAGCAAACTGCGACGCTTCGAACGAACGCCTTTCGTCGAGAAAGCCTGTCTATGTCCAGCAAAAAGCCTGTCTATGACTATGTCCAGCAAAAAGTCTGTCTATGACTATGTCCAGCAAAAAGCCTGTCTATGACTATGTCCAGCAAAACGTATGTCTATGACTATGTCCAGCAAAAAGCCTGTCTAAGTCCAGCAAAAAGCCTGTCTATGACTATGTCCAGCAAAAAGTCTGTCTAAGTCCAGCAAAAAGCCTGTCTATGTCCAGCAAAACGTCTCTCTACGTCCAGCAAAAAGCCTGTCTATGTCCAGCAAAAAGCCTGTCTATGTCCAGCAAAAAGCTTGTCTATGTCCAGCAAAAAGCCTGTCTATGTTCAGCAAAAAGCCTGTCTATGTTCAGCAAAAAGCCTGTCTATGTTCAGCAAAAAGCCTGTCTATGTCCAGCAAAAAGCCTGTCTATGTCCAGCAAAAAGCCTGTCTATGTCCAGCAAAAAGCCTGTCTATGTCCAGCAAAAAGCCTGTCTATGTCCAGCAAAAAGCCTGTCTATGTCCAGCAAAAAGCTTGTCTATGTCCAGCAAAAAGCCTGTCTCTCCACAGTACAAAGAAACTTTGTGTAAACCGGATTCTCAGTCGATATTAATTCAATTATCAGCAAAAAGAAAACCCTGGAGTGAACGAAATTACCAAACTGCTTGAGATTAACAATTTAATTTGGACTGTTTCCTCTTTGGATATCAAGAAATAAAACATATTCCCCAAACTGTCATTGTATATCATAGTAAAAACGTGTAAGCTAAAGCTGGTGTAATATTTACTGTAATACTACATGGTATTTCATGTACACAGTGCAAGGCATGTCAGAAATTAATGAGATTCCCAAGCAGTCATCACCACATGTCCTTGGCATGCCTTCCTCGTTCATCCTGCGATGTAATGAACATAAACGTGCCGCACATTGAAATATTGTAGCGTGAAACATGCTTTCGTACTGTAGCGTGAAACATGCTTTCGGTGGTAATTCGTTAGCATTATAGCTTGGCAACCCCGCACTTTCTCCCCCTCCGATAATTCCTGAAAGCCTGTGAGTGATGTAATATTTCATATCCGACTATGACTTTCATTACCGCTATCACTACCTCGCGCTGACCTGGTTTGCATGTAAGTGGTTAGTGGTTTCTAACTAGTAGTGCTGGTGGTGGTGGGGGTCGAAACTGAAACTCACAAATAACCCCACAGTAGTGCAGTTATGTATTTATTCTTGCATGTTTTATATAGTATAAAGTCCTGTAAAATCAGTATTTACGTTGTCCAGTTTGTAGTCCGTAATATGTCGTGTTTTAGTGTTAGATGGTGGACTTAGCATGGGATTCTAGTTCTGTTGTCCAATCCTTCAATCATAGCTGTATGTGTATTTTTTATATAATATGATTGTAAAGTTAATAAAAAAAAATTTTAAAAAAAATGACGAAATTGTGACTTGAAATGTAGTCGAATTAGAGGATTTGCGATCTCGTACGGATAAATCACTACTTAAAGTGAGGCGAATTAATTTTGATCTAGTCCTAGGACTGTAACAATATACTTACCCAGGTATCCAGTATTACCATGTGAACAAAATAAAGCAACATACCATGGTTGGCTAATTTACTCATAATGAGTTTGAAATAGCTGAACAACTGTCTAACAAAATGTAACTATAATTTTTCAGCCATGAAAGCGCCGGTAGGCTATACATGAAGCAATATATTGCATGACATTTATTTCC